CAGACAGACAGACAGACAGTACAGTGTTTGTATTCTGTTGTTTCTGAGTTTTACTGCGAGCTGCCAAACAAACAAAGTCAAACTAATATCAGTGAATACGACATCAGATTTATTACGTTAGGCTCAAAGAGAAAAGGAGCACTGCAGTTAATTAAATATCTCACCTTTGTGACCTTTGACCCTTTTGTTGGCCTCTGTGGTGAGCGTCAGGGCCAGGAGCAGCAGCAGCGTCACTGAGAACAAACTTCGCATTCTGCAGAGACACAGACAGACAGACAGACAGACAGACAGGATGTCTTTAATCTGAAAGGACTGAAAGGACTCTGCAGCTTCATTTATTAAAAAGAGTTTGATTATTTTCTGAAATATTAAACTGGTTCTCACAATATTTGATTTATTTGATCTTTATTTACCCAGGAAGTCTCCTGAGATACTCACAGGAGAGGAAAGTAAAAGTGGGTCAGCTGTTAGCTGTTAGCTGTTAGCTGGAGACACTGCGACCAATCAAAGTCGCTCTGAATCTAAAGAGATCAGGTCTGTTTGTTCACATCTGACTGAGTTACGGCTGAAGAGGACGAGTTTGAGACCACAGATCCGGATGCTAAAGGACCACAAAGAGACGCTGAAGGTTAAAAGTGTCTCTTTAATCTGGTGGTCTTGCTCCTATGTGGTGGTGGGGGGGGCCAGTGGGGGCCCATTGTCTCATAATGGGGCCGTGAAGGGCCAGAGCTGCACCTTCGAGCTCGTCCACCAAGGTGTCTGAATGTGTTTGTTCTAATCTGATCCTGTTGTCTGATTGGCTGACGGGATGTTGAACAGTAGCGTGATCTGGTCCGCTTGGGCCAGATGGTCCAAATATCAGCTCGGCCCCCCCAAATCTCAGAACACTTAAGCCAAATAATCTGACTATTGTAGTGCCGGCAGCATCGGGATTATAAAGTGGGCTAATGTATTCAGATATTGTTCCCGCTCGCTCACATTTACTCCGGATTTTAGTGGATTTCTCCTCGTTCTCGCCACCGTTACCGCGCTCCTTCAGTGTCTGAAGGCGGCGACAGCGCCCATCAGCTCAGAGGAGAACTGTAGCGTGGGGGTCTTGGCTCTCCTTTGAAAAAAGAGAGAGTCAATTACCCATAAAGCCCCTCTCTCCCGCTCTGTTGTTATTGTGCTGAGAAATGACAGACTCTCTTTCAGGCCTCCATTAAAGCAATGCTCCTCTTTCACATGTCAGCTGGCAGAGCAAATCTTGCTCTTCTCGCTCCTCCTGCGGCCCTTTATGAGGAAAGAACCGGCTCTCAGCAGGCCTCCAGTCTGTCCTCCATCAATGAAGAAGAGGAGGAGGAGGAGTGGGAGGAGTGGGGGGGGCAAGCAGCATCTGAAAGAGCTCTTTAGATTTCCCCTCAAAAGAATACTGATTCATTGGCCCAAAACAAAGCCTCTTCTAGCCTGGTTTCATTTCTCTAAAGCCTAACACAGATTCCATGCCACGTCTTAGGAGCTGTGGCCCCCCCATACCCCCCGCCCTGAATAGAAACTTATTTGCATAAGAAAACAATAAGATCTCAGCATGAAGAAAAGGAGTGGGATGCTCCCTTTGGTTCAGAACTAGGAACAACATTTAGAGGAACTTCCTCCTGAATCTCAGGGTTCACTCTCGCATCCGGAAACATGAAACAGTTTAAAGCTGCTGACGTTTACTCCTGCAGAGCCGGAGGAAAACCTTCCCGACAGTGACACGTATATCGGCCGATATTGGCCAATCACAGACATATCGCTGTATCGGGGTATAAATCATCCGATATGTGTCGATATATAAAACAAAGAGTCTGGTAGTTTCTACAGAGCTGATGTTCCTTTAACTTTTCTTTAATAAAGTCATTAGTTCGGGGCACGTTGTTGTCGGCTGTTCGGGGCTCGGCGTCGGTTTCAGAGGGAAACGGCTGCAACCATCAAACAATGGCAACGAAAGCTGGAAGAGTTTATTACAGCTGTAAATGGACATTATATAGATATATGGTCACCATGGATACGAGTCCACAAAAGAGCTGATTTTTAATATTAGTTTGTTTAGTATTTCAGTTAAATGATCAGTCAGTTGTTTTCCATCACATCAAATTCAATTATAAAGTTATATTAAAAATTACGTTTATTTACTAATTGATGGAATTTATGAATTATGGCACAAATAAAAAGTTTCAATACATAAATCCGGTCTCAATAAATCCATATCGGTCGGTCTCTGCTGACATTGAAAGTCTCCTCCAATGAAATTTAACTTTTGGAGAATAAATAAAATAAAAGATCTAAAGACAGAAAGTGTCCCAACAGCAGAATGAAGGTTTAACATCTGCAGCCGCTCTGTGTCCAGGGTTTACCTTCCTAAACACTGATCAATACACACTGATCATTACACACTGATCATAACACTGTATTACAATTTTTTCTTTAATATTAAGAGACTAAATGTGCACAGTCACAAAAATCTAAAATCAAACATTAAAATATATAAATAATCACATTTATAAGGTTACAGGTTGTGACTGATTATTATTACCGATTGATTATTAATCTTTACCATTTTTAATCCTGTATGAATGAAAACAAACGCTCTCAGATTAACGGAGGGAAAATGTGTAACAGGAGAAAAAAACAGTGAAATAAAAACTTACATGCCGAGCTCAGAGGAGCAGCCAGTCGAACTGTGGAGTCGTCTCCGTCTGTCGCTGCCTTCAGCTGCTGCTCAGCATCCCCTCACACACACACACACACACACACACGGACAATGCTGAAACCAGCCTCATGGTGACGTCACAAGCTTTAATCCGAACCCTGGGGAACAAAACAAGTTCAGCTCATTAACATAAAGTGTGTATGTGAGTGTGTGTGTGTGTGTGTGTGTGTATGTGAGTGTATGCTATGCCACCATACAGTGTTTGTGATAGGTGTGTGTACAGGTGTGAGACTCACTGTTAACGTCTTTAACTGCAGTAAAAGTAAGATAAAAGTACTCCATTCAAAATCTTACTTAAAGCTCCTGTATGTAACATTAAACTGTAGCTAACAGCGCCACCAGTGGTCGTTCATTACACTGTAGGTAACAGCGCCACCAGTGGCCGTTCAGTGAACTGCAGTCAGCGTCCTGTTGCATCATCCTGGGCGTCAGCCAACAG